GGGTCCCAGGAACAGGGATTTTCCCCATCAGAATATCCCACAGGCTTAATGACTTTATGAGAAGTAAATTCGTGTGTGTGTGTGTGTGTGTGTGTGTGTGTGTGTTAAGGTAACCAGTGAATGTAGAGAAGCATTGAGAGGATTGCAATTTTGCCATCTCTTTCTGAATAGTTGCTAGATCTTATGTTGGTATAAGTATATATGCTTATATACATATGTATAAACTTATAAATTTGCCCATCTTACATGGAACTACCTATTTTTCATTTCTCCATTTCCATCTCTATTGGCCCTCTTTCCCAGGCTCCAAAGATTAATCCAGAAGAATATCAGGAGACACTTCAGATGCCATGAGGCCAGATATTTAGCACAGTTTTCTGATACTGAATTAAGCAGAAAGCCCCTTAGGCAGCACTTTCATACTTCATCATTTTCAAACTTCTATCTAGAATGATCTTCTAAGGTACACTAGACCTGGAAGTGACTTGCTGAATCACTAGAGTAAAAGAGTAAAATAGTTTGGGTTAGATCTATGAAAACGATCGGTCTACTTACACACACACACTCACACACACACACTCTTACACTCACACTCACATACACTTTCTCAGTGTAACTTAATATAATCAGAGTAGTTTTCTCTGAAATTTACTAAGCCCTTGCTTGCTTGCTCAGTGATTAATAGGACTAGGGATATTTTAAAACCACAATGTTTATAGCTAAATAGCTTTATTCCGGAGTAACTTCAGTTATTACTTGTTATAATGGAAGCCGTAAGTCAAGGTTCACTTTTAAGAGACTTTTGTTGTGTTTCTTATGCTCAATACTAGAAATCACAATGTGATTCCTGCCTCTTGTTTTATCCAGAGACACTTTTTCAGAAATCTTGGGTCTATTCTGGCTTATGCTTTCTTGGGGACTGCCGTTTCCTGCTTCATTATTGGGTAAGTTACTCTTTGTCATTAATCAAATTAACATACTTTTCCAAAGAGATGAGATCCACAGGGGCCCGCAGAGTCCAGTGTTTTCCCCAGCTATATTGAGATACAATTGACATATTACATTGTGTGAGTTTCAGGTGGACAATGTGTTGATTTGATATATTTATAAATTGCAAAATCATTACCACCCTAGTATTAGCTACTGCCTTCATCCTGTCACATAGTTACCATTTCTTTCTTGTGATGAGAACGTTTGAGACCTACCGTCTTAGCAAAATTCAAGTATATGATGTAGTATTATTACCGACAGTCACCATGATGTACCTCAGATCCCCAAAGTTGTTACTCTTCTAACTGGAGGTTTGTATGCTTTGAGCAACATCTCCCCATTTCCCCCACCCCCAACCCCTGACAACCACCAGAGTCCAGGATTTCGATGTTTATGATGATGGCAGTTAAGATTTAGGGCTACATTGTGCAGCGTGGTAGCTGTTAGCCATGTGTAGCTATTTAAATTAAGATTAAGGTAAATTAAAATGAAAAAATTTACACCTAGTCCCCAGATCTTGGTTCCTGCACTTTGCAGAAATGGCCGATTCTAGGGCTGGGGCAGCAAATATACAAGATAAGAATGGAGCATATCATAGTGCCAAGAAGTAAGGAAGCGCCCAGAAAACAAACAAAAGGACTTGGGGCGTGTCAAAGAGACACATGAGCCAACCTGAAGGCTCCCCTAAGGCCAGTGGCCAAAGAACGACAAAATAAGTAACATTGTACTGGACCCAAACTATAAAGTAAACATCTGAGTCTCTACCAATGTTAATAAATGATTGGATGAATAAATACGTGGCAGAGAAGTAACCCATCTCCTGTGCAGAAGAATTCCAAATAATTTATGTCGACCCCCCCACCCAACCCCGCAGGAGAGGGAGCTTATGCCCCCTCCCGCTTTGATTGCGGGCTGTGCCTAGTGACGTCCTCCCACAGAGGACATCAGGGAAAAAGGAGGAAGAAAACGTAGCTTTACAGTGGGGAAAACCCGACAGACACCACCTCAGCCAGATGATCAAGATCAGCAGCAATAGTGGTAAATCACGCTGATACTCTGCACCCTTGATGTTTGTGATGAGAATGGCCCTTTCCCTCCCCAAAACATACTACCTCGGTGTAATCGTGAGAAGAGGAAAAAAAATAAAATGATCAGATAAGTCCCAATTGAGGCACGTTCTACAAAATACCCCACCGCTATTCCTCAAAACTGCCAAGGTCATCAAAACCACACAGAGTTGGAGAGATCGTCCCAGCCAAGAGGATACTAAAGAGACATGATGACTAAGTGTCATGTGGGATCCTGGATGGCGTCCTGGAACAGAAAAGGGACATTAGGTAAAAGCTTAAGGAAATCGGAGTAAAGTACGGACCTTAGTTACTTTTTAAAAAATGAGCAGGGGGTGCCTGGGTGGCTCAGTTGGTTAAGCGACTGCCTTCAGCTCAGATCATGGTCCCGGGGTCCTGGGATCGAGTCCCGCATCGGGCTCCCTGCTCTGCGGGGAGCCTGCTTCTCCCTCTCCCTCTGCCTCTACCCCCACTCCTGCTCTCTCAAATAAATAAATAAAAATCTTAAAAAAAAGAGATCGGTTTCACTTTAAGCTCATTTATTCAGTGTTCCCGACTGTAAGTCTTAGTTCTTCCTGGTTCTTTTGCCGTATTCTACAAATACTTATTTAGTGCCCATTCTTATTGGTGAGTGATGCAAAAGGCTTAATGAATCTTTGGAGGGGAAATACCTTGTTGTCTTAGAATTTGAGTCCAATAACTGTTTTTCATTTGACGTTGGGGGTAGCTAAAATACACGACCAAGGGATCATATATCTTTTCACTCGGGTGATTTCCGAGAGAAGCAAGAGATCTGTATTTATCCACATATAGTCTCTTACTCTGTAGACCCAGGCTTATCAGCAGGGAGGCTTCTGTCTAAGCTCTGGGCAATCCAGGTTGTGGGGAGTCTCTTTTCATATAGAACAAGGCGAATGCGTGCGAAGGCTTGCAGTCAAAGGCAGGGTGTAGCCTGTGCTCTGCAAATTAAATTCTTACTGTTTTTAGGATCTACCCTAATCCTTAAGGAAAATTATTCTCAACCAGGAGCATAATGCCCATCTTCTCTGTGTCCTTAAAGGCAGTCCTAGTGAACTCGTCTCTCTCAACCCCTCATAAGAATGCCTGGGATTTCCATAAACATTTGTGAAATTAAATGCAACTGAGAAAGATATTCAGTGTAATCACCACGCTCACGGCTGGTTTGAAATGGCAGCTTGAGTCTGTATGGGGTAGGACAGGGGGAGAAAAGGGAAAAGAACCCAACCCATTTCCATCTTTTAAA